CTATTTTTTCTAACCTTAACATGTGTTTTTTGTCTTTCAAGTACACCTGGACCTATATTTGGACCTGGACCTATAGCTGGACCTGGACCTATACCTGGACCTATATCTGGACCTACCATTCTGTGTTCGTTTGTCTCTCCTTCCTGTTCTCTCAACCAGCCGGTCAAAGCAGATGGTCTCTTGTCCTGAGCCTGATTCTGATGGAGGTTTCTTCCTGTTAAAATCAGAGTTTTTCTTTCCACTGTCTCCACTGTGCTTGCTCACGATGGGAGACTGCAACGAAGCCAAGACTCAACTTGTCTGCTGGATTCCTTAGATAGAGAACTTTACTAATTGGCTTTTATGTGAATGTTCCTGTAAAGTGCCCTGAGACAACTTTGTTGTGATTTGGCGTTATATAAATAAACTGAATTGAATTGAATTAAAATATAATTGAGAAAGAGTTGTTTAAAAAGACTAAAAAGTTTTTTGTTTTTTTTATGTGCACACGGTTGAATAGCCAAAAGTGTAGCTAGGAGAACACTTTTCTCTTTCTGAATTCTCTGTGCTCTGCCTAATTCAATTCAATTCAAGTCATAAATACTTTATTAATCCCAGAGGGAAATTAAATGTGTTTGTAACTCATCATCCTGGTTTCATTAAAGAGTTGTTATAGATGCTGATGGCTGTGGGCAGGAAGGAGCTCTCGTAGCGGTCTGTCCTACAACGGATCTGAAGAAGCCTCTTACTGAAGACACTGTTGTTGTATGACAGTCTGATGAAGAGGATGCTGAGGGGTGTCTATAATGTTCTTCATTTTATGAAGAATCCTTCTTTGTACAATCATCTCCAAAGGTTCTAGAGAAGTCCCCAGAACTGAGCCAGCCTTCTTTATGAGCTTGTTGATCTTTTTTAAGTCACTTGCTCTGGTGCTGCTACCCCAGCAGATGATGGCAGAAGAGATAGCACCCTCTACAACAGACTTATAGAAGATATGCAGCATCTTGCTGCAAACGTTGAAGGACTTCAGCTTCCTCAAGAAGTACAGTCTGCTCTGTCCCTTCTTGTAGACGCTTCACTGTTGCATTTCCAGTCCAGTCTGTTGTCCAGGTGAACCCCAAGGTATTTATACTTCTCTACCACCTCCACTTCTTCTCCCATGATGGAAATGGGGTTGGACCTGTTCCTGTTTCTCCTGAAATCTACAATCATCTCCTTTGTTTTGTTCACATTCAAGATGAGATGATTGTTTCCACACCATGCCACAAAGTGGTCCACCAGTTCCCTGTACTCAGCTTCTTGACCATCTCTGATACACCCGACCACTGCAGAGTCATCTGAATATTTCTGCAGATGACAGGAGTCTGTTTTGTACTGGAAATCTGAGGTGTACGGAGTCATGGCTGATAAGGTACTAACTACTGATAACTATCAGACAGGAGATGATGCTTTGCTATGTGTCACTCAGAGTATGCATTGTAAAAAACAAAAAACTCAGCTTCTATCAACTCAATATCTATACACCGTAATCATAACTGTAACTGAAGGTAAGTTTAATCCATTTTTGTGATGACTAATACTGATGAGCTGTTGTGACCGTTTTTAATGGGGTTAGCTTCAAACGTTCAGTTGTACATATGTCAGTCATTTTCTCAGTATCATTAAAATCTCTCCAGGGTTCTTAAGACATTTTGCTAATAGACAAGCAGCTGTACAAACATGGGCAAAAACCTAATGGCTGCTTTGCCTTCGGTGACAGGCAAAAGTAATGTATGTCTACTTAAAGTGTGAACAGGTTGATTCATGTCAGCAGAAGGTGTGAAAATGCAAAAACATGTAATAGATAACATTTTTCTGGTTGCAATATGCAGAAGAACATTAAATCTTTTATCCTGATGCATGCTCAATAATCCAGGTAGAAAAATCCAAAAAGTTCAATCTGTTCCTCTGGACATTCAAAAAAAAAAAAAAAAAAAACCAAGGCAAAAAAATCTAGAAACGTTTCGTCTTTCATCCAAGAGACTTCCTTAGTCTGAGGTGCTGTTTTCAGCTCAGTCTCTTAAATAGCACCTTCACAGAGTGGATCAACCAGTTTTGCTGCTGACAACCAAAACCAGCTGATCACATGCTCAAGAAGGACCATCAGCCTAACAATGGATCATTAGCACACTGATGGCTGTTTACTGTTCACAGAGGGCTGAGTGATACTAGCAATCACAGCATTGTAAGAGGGGGACAGTTGAACCCGGAGGCCTCCACCCCTGTTTAACGATGGACGATTTCTTTTCACAAAGATGGCCTCCTTTACTCCTCTCTCAAACCATCGTTCCTCTCTGTCCAGGATGTGAACATCTTCATCCCTGAAAGAGTGACCGCTGGCCTGGAGATGAGTGTAGACCACAGAGTCCTGGCCTGATGATGTTGATCTTCTGTGCTGGGCCATCCTTTTGGCCAGTGGCTGTTTAGTTTCCCCGATGTAAGACTGATCACCCTCCTGACACTGAACAGCATACACAACATTACTCTGTTTGTGCTGGGGGACTGGATTTTTGGGATGAACCAGTCTTTGCCGTAATGTATTTTGGGGTTTAAAAGCCACTGGGACATTATGTTTAGAAAATAAACGTCAGTTTCTCTGATACTCCCTCAACATATGGAATGACCACTGGTCTGGGTCTGGGTTCCTCCTTTTCTTTGTGAAAAGAAATCGTCCATCGTTAAACAGGGGTGGAGGCCTCCGGGTTCAACTGTCCCCCTCTTACAATGCTGTGATTGCTAGTATCACTCAGCCCTCTGTGAATAGTAAACAGCCATCAGTGTGCTAATGATCCATTGTTAGGCTGATGGTCCTTCTTGATCATGTGATCAGCTGGTTTTGGTTGTCAGCGGCAAAACTGGTTGATCCACTCTGAGAAGGTGCTATTTAAGAGACTGAGCTGAATACAGCTCCTCAGACTGAGGAAGTCTCTCGGATGAGAGACGAAATGTTTCTACATTTTTTTGTTGATTTGCTTTGTTTTTTTGAATGTCCAGAGGACCAGATTTAACTTTTTTAGATTATTATCAGACATTCTCTTGAGTTTTTCGTGATTGATGTGTAATTACAGGATTTAACAGTGTGACAATTAGCCCCCATAATTGAAACATTAATGAAAATGCGATCATTCAGAACCCAAAACAATGAAAGTTGCAATGATGGGCAGATCCAGGTGTATTAACAAGATTCAGTGACTCCAGATAGTCTCCATCCATCCATTTTCTTCTGCTTATCCTGGGTCAGGTCGCGGGGGTAGCAGCCTAACAAATACACCTACACCCCCCTGAACATAAGAGGATCTGCGGTGGAAGTGGTCTCCAGCTACAAGTACTTGGGTGTACACATGAATGACAACTCAGCTGGAGCAACAACACCACCAGCCTGATCAAGAAAGCTCATCAGAGACTCTACTTCCTCAGACGGCTGAGGCGAGCTGGTCTGGGAAGCTCAGTCCTCACCTCCTTCTACAGGTGTGCAGTGGAGAGCATCCTGTGCTCCAGTATCAACGTGTGGCATGGAGGCTGCACAGCTGCAGAAAGAAAAGCTTTGCAGAGAGTGGTGAAGGCTGTGCAGAAGTCTGTCGGAGTCAGCCTCCCCACCATCACAGACATCTACACCTCTAGATGCAGGAAGAGGGCTACCTGCATCATGAAGGACCCCACTCACCCAGCACACACACTTTTTGCCCCACTCCCCTCAGGAAGGAGGTTAAGGAGCATTAAGTGTATAACCACTAGACTGAGGAACAGCTTCTACCCTGAGGCTGTTAGACTCATGAATCTCTAACTAGAATAATCACTGTGAAAAACCATATCATGTTGCTGCTGATCTGTTTCATGTTGCTGCTGATCTGTTTCAATGTTAATGTGTTCATGCGTGCTCATCTGCTCACACAGACTCATGTTCATGTTTGTGCCGATGTTCAATGTTTTTATGTTATGAGTGCTTAGTGTATATTTAGTTGATGTTTTTCTTAGTTCATATCTTAGATGTTATTACTGTTTTTCTCATACATTTTATTGTTGGATGTAACTGGGACCTTGTGTACATAATTTCGCTCCACCACATGTACCACATGAGGTGCGAATGACAATAAAGAAACTCTCTCTGACTACAGATAAAATTACATCAGCTTTTTTTTCCTATTAAATGCAGTTTTGTAAATATAATTTGGACAAGTTCGATTGTCCAATTAAAAAGTCCAATGGACCGTATACGGCCCACGGGTTGGGGTTTGCCCCTGTCTGGTTTAAAACCATCTCAGCTACTACAATACCAAAAATTAGGGACATACATGTAAAACTGACTGAGTTGTAGACATTTTTCTGTTTAGGTAATCAGTTGATCTGCATACAGGGATTACTTTCTGCAACTTTCATTAAAATGTATCTAATAGTTCATGAGACATTTTGTGAAATGACACTCACATTACTGTTCCCTTTTGCCTTCTGGCAGTAAACGATGTTTAGAGATCTTCAGGTAGTTTTTCAGCACCTCCTTACAACTCTACCTCTTTTATTAAAGGTTTATTTGAGTCAACTGTTAAAGTGCCACAAACTCTTTGTATAAAGTCAAAACCAGTTATCTAATTTATTCTTATAAAACTTTTTCTGGAAGGGTGGTAAGATAGAAGAACAGCTCGGCCTTGACACAACCACTCCTCCCACTAGCAGTAGGCACCTCCCCTCATGCTTTAAGCTCCTTCCCCCCCAAACGTCTGATGTTATATCACCCTCAGTCACACACTTCCCTGCAAAAAACAGTAGGTTGCTCTCAGAGTGGAGCACAACTCAGGTGTGACTACATTCTCCTGCCTGTTAATTATCCGACTGCCATAGGCAAATTATCGCCTTTCATAACAGCCTGCCTACAAGTTGTCTGCCTTTATCTGCTTCTGCAGCTTTTAACATTTTGTTTTTATAAGTGCTCCTGGACCATTAGATTTGGACCAGGTCAGTTTCAAGAAGGCACATTCTCAGTGGCTGAAGAAATGAATTTTGATGAAATCCTCATTGACATTGGAGGCTTTGGGAAGTTTCAGAAGATCTTGTATGTGTGGATCTGTGCACCTCAGATCTTCCTGGCATTCCACATGCTAGTGTCTGTGTTCACCGGAGCCGTTCCTCCCCATTTGTGCCGCTCTATGGCTCCCTTAAAGGGTCTTCCAGACTTCAAGAACTTCAGCCATTTGACAGGCCTTGATGGCCATCCTGATCTGTCCTGCAGTGCCTTTTTGAACCACAGCAGTGCTGCAGCTCCTGAAGATGGACACCCTGCTGTGAGTTGTCAGGAGGGCTGGGAATATGGCAAAGAGACATTCCAAAGCACCATAGTATCTGAGGTAAGTGGAAAAACTGAGGCCCTTTCCACACTAATGTGTTTTGTGAATATGGTTTCCTTTACAGGCCTGTACCTCACTGTGGGCTGGCAGCTTCTTTCTGCAGAGAGAAACAGAGCCAGAGAGTTTTGAGAATTACCCTAAATGTTAGAAAATCTGCACCACCTAAAATTAATTTTTATAAATTGTAGAAAAGTTTTTTTGTTGTGAAACCAGTATCTGCGTCTAATATTGTGAGTACTTAAGTTCTGCCTACTGCCATACACACAAGCATGGTGTTACATGACATTTAAAATGGTGAAATAACTGATTGCAGCTAAATTTTTGTTAAAAAAATTGAACATACATCAGCAAGTTGAAAAAATTCTAGAATAGGGTGAGTCAACGTCTGAAAATAAATCTGCTTAACTATTTAACAAGAGTAAAGTCCTTTGTGTTTCCATGGATGGACAGGCCTGAAAACTCTTACTGGGACCATCGTGTAGAAATGCTTTAACAGCTCAGGCTTCAATTTCTGCTTAGTCTGATAATTTGTTACATGTTTATGACAGCTAACACTTAAATTATTTACTGTAAATGCTAGAAAAGGTATGCCGTATAACACATGACTGTAAATAAAGAAGATTCTACATACATAAAAAGAAAATCAATAATTTTCAAAGTTCATGCTCAATAATCCATCCATCCATCCATCCATTTTCTTCCACTTATCCGGGGTCGGGTCGCGGGGGTAGTAGCCTAAGTAGGGAGGCCCAGACTTCCCTCTCCCCAGCCACTTGGTCCAGCTCCTCCAGGGGGAATCCCGAGGCGTTCCCAGGCCAGCCGAGAAACATAGTCCCTCCAGCGTGTCCTGGGTCTTCCCTTGGGCCTCCTCCCGGTGGGACGTGCCCGGAACACCTCACCAGGGAGGCATCCAGGAGGCATCCTAAACAGATGCCCAAGCCACCTCAACTGGCTCCTCTCGACGTGAAGCAGCGGCTCTACTCTTAGTCTCTCCCGGATGATTGAGCTTCTCACCCTATCTCTAAGGGAGAGCCCAGACACCCTGCGGAGAAAACTCATTGCGGCCGCTTGTATCCGAGATCTCGTTCTTTTGGTCACAACCCAAAGCTCATGACCATAAATGAGGGTGGGAACGTAGATCGATCAGTAAATTGAGATCTTCGCCTTTTAACTCAGCTCTCTCTTCACCACGACAGACCTGTACAGCGCCCGCTTCACTGCAGACGCTGCTCCTATCTGCCTATCGATCTCACGCTCCATTTTTCCCTCATTCGTGAACAAGACCCCAAGATACTTTTTTCATTCATTCAACCTTTATTTAAACAGATAAATTACATTGAGCCTCGAAGACTCATTTACAAGTGAGACCTGTTTGGACAGACAAAAACAGTTGTTAACTAGACACATGTAGGAGTTGGAGGCAAAAAAAAATCCTATCAGACTTTTTTCTTGGCTGAGAAAAACCCCTAATATTGAAAAAACACCTCGCACAAACAAGCACATATTTACAAAGACCTTCTGCAATCAGAAACAAGAGCAGTCAACAACGCTTATAGATGCTCTCGAGGTCACTGTAATCAGTCAATGTCCTTTGGTGAGATCCATAAACATTCTCGAGGTATGTCTTGAGGTATACTTGAACTCCTCCACTTGGGGCAGGACCTCCTCCCTGACCCGGAGAGGGCACTCTACCCTGTTCCGGCTCAAGACCATGGCCTCAGATTTGGAGGAACTGATCCTCATCCCAGCCGCGATACACTCGGCTGCAAACCGCTCTAGCGAAAGCTGTAGATCACGATCTGATGAAGCCAATAGGACAATATCATCTGCAAAAAGCAGAGACGCAATCCTAAGGCCACCAAAACTGATCCCCTCAACACCTTGGCTGTGCCTAGAAATTCTGTCCATAAAAGTTATGAACAGAATCGGTGACAAAGGGCAACCTTGGCGGAGTCCAACTCTCACCGGGATCAAGCCCGAATTTACTGCCGTTATGCGGACCAGGCTCAGACACTGGTCATACAGGGACCTAACAGCCCATATCAAAGGGCCCGGTACCCCATACTCCCAGAGTACCCCCCACAGGATTCCCCGAGGGACGTGGCCGAACACCTTCTCCAAGTCCACAAAGCACATGTAGATCAGTTGGGCAAACTCCCACGCACTGTCCCGGACCCTGCTGAGAGTATAGAGCTGGTCTAGTGTTCCACGACCAGGACGAAAACCGCACTGCTCCTTCTGAATCTGAGGTTCGACTATCCGACGAACCCTCCTCTCCAGAAGCCCCGAATAGACCTTACTAGGGAGACTTAAGAGCGTGATCCCCCTGCAGTTGGAACACACTCTACAGTCCCCCTTTTTGAATAGGGGAACCACCACCCCAGTCCGCCAATCCAGGGGAACTTCCACCGATGTCCACGCAGTACTGGGGAGTTGCATAAGCCGACACAACCTTACAACATCCAGAGCCTTAAGGAACTCCGGGCAAATCTCATCCACCCCTGGGGCCCTGCCACCGAGGAGTTTTTTAACCACCTCGGTGACCTCAGCATCAGAGATTGGAGGGCCTGACCCAGAGTCCCCAGGCTCCACATCCTAAGTGGAGTGTGCCGGTGGGATTGAGGAGGTCTTCAAAGTATTCTGTCCACTGACCCACGACATCCCGAGTTGAGGTCAGCAACGTACCACACCCAATATAAACAGTGTTGGTGGCATCCCACTTTCACCCTCTGAGACGCCGGATGGTGGACCAGAATCGCCTCGAAGCCATACGGAAGTCATTCTCCATGGCCTCTCTCAACTCTTCCCATGCCCGAGTTTTTACCTCAGCGACCACCTGAGCCGCATGTTGCTTGGACTGCTGGTACCCATCAGCTGCTTCCGGTGTCCCACAGGCCAAAAAGGCCCGATAGGACTCCTTCTTCAGCCTGACAGCATCCCTCACCAACGGTGTCCACCACCGGGTTCGAGGGTTGCCGCCACGACAGGCACTTACAACCTTGCAGCCGCAGCTCTGGTAAGCTGCCTCAACAATAAAGGCAAGGAACATGGCCCACTCAGACTCAATGTCCCCTACCTCCCCCGGAACACGGTCAAAGTTCTCCCTGAAATGGAAGTTAAAGCTCTGTCTCACAGGAGACTCTGCCAGATGTTCCCAGCAAACTCTCACAAGAAGTTTGGGTCTGCCAGGTCTGACCGGCATCCTCCCCCACCATCGGAGCCAACTTACTACCAGGTAGTGATCAGTGGACAGCTCCGCCCATCTCTTCACCCGAGTGCCCAAAACATGTGATTGCAGATCAGGTGAGACGATGACAAAGTTGATCATCGAACTGCGGCCTAGGATGTCCTGGTTCCAAGAGCACATATGGACACCCTTATGCTTGAACATGGTGTTCGTTGTTGACAATCCATGACGAGCACAGAAGTCCAAAAACAGAACACTACATGAGTTCAGATCAGGGGGGCCGTTCCTCCCAACCACACCCCTCCAGGTCTCACTGTCATTGCCCACGTGAGCATTGAAGTCCCCCAGCAGAACAAGGGAGTCCCTAGGAGGTGCACTTTCCAGAACCCCCTCCAATGACTCCAGAAAGGGTGGATAATCTGAACTGACATTTGGTACGTAAGCACAAACGACAGTCAGAACCCATCCCTCACACGTAGGCGGAGGGAGGCCACCCTCTCATTCACCAGGGTGAACCCCAAACACACAGGCAGCAAGTTGGGGGGCAATAAGTATGCCCGCTCCTGCTTGGCGCCTCTCACCAGGGGCAACTCCAGAGTGGAAGAGTGTCCAACCCCTCTCAACGAAACTGGTTCCAGAGCCAGAGCCATGTGTAGAGGTGAGTCCGACTATTTCTAGCCAGAACTTCTCAACCTCACACACCAGCTCAGGCTCCTTCCCTACTAGTGAGGTGACATTCTACATCCCGATAGCCAGCTTCTGTAGCCGAGGGTCAGCCCGCCAGGGTCCCCGCCCTCGGCCACCACCCATCCCACATTGCACCCGACCCCTTTGGCCAGGTGCTCACAGGTGGTGAGCCCATGGAAAGGGGGACCCACGTCTCCTCTTTGGGCTGTGCCCGGCCGAGTTCCATGGGTAAAAGCCCAGCCACCAGGCGCTCGCCCGTGTGCCCCACCTCCAGGCCTGGCTCCAGAGTGGGGCCCCGGTGACCCACGTCCGGGCGAGGGAACACCATGTCCATTTATTTTACTCATCATATGGGTCTTTGGGCTGCATTTTGTCTGGTCCCTCATCTAGGACCTGTCTGCCTTGGGTGACCCTACTAGGGGCGTAAAGCCCCTGACAACATAGCTCCTAGGATCCTTGGGACACTCAAACCCCTCCACCACGGTAAGGTGGCTGCCCAGTTTTGTAAAAAATCCAACAAATTTCAGTCCAGTCATCTGAATAGTTTCTTTTTTCTTTTTTTTTTGGAAAGGTTTCATACTTCATCCAAAGGACATCAGTCCTTTGGATCTGATGAATGAATTTGGTTTCTGATGGATCTGCATGGATCCATATCAGATATAATGGAAACAGAACATGACGGGCTTTACCGCACAGTCCACAGACAAAAGAAAAAAATACAGATGCTGAATATATTTATATAATAGTTTAATCTACTTTGTAAATAAACATGCCCCTTTTCACCAGTATAGAATAAAAGGGCAAGACAGCCCCTGGTTTACTCATGGGTTAGCTGATCTCCTACACAGGAGAGATCGGCTTTGGGCAATAGCAAGACAGTTTGGTTTGTTAAAGATGTGATCTGGCTGCAGGCCGCCGGAACCGGAAACCCCCTCCAGCCCACGCCCTACCCCCTGCTTGAACCCTCCTCGGAAGTGACAACTATACTAATCAATAAATCAAGGAAACGTCAATTAAGTTTTATCAATTATATTAGAAAAAGGCAGTAAAAGATTACAATTCACAGCGCTGGACTCTATTCAGTCTGTGACGCATTCACAGACCCGGAAGAAGAGCCCCGATGTCT